TCCCAAGGTAACCAATTCTGATAATTTCAGTTCCTTCTGCAGATTATTCCAGGAAGCAGGGGCAGCATATTTAAAAGCCCTTTTCCCCAATTCTGTTCTAATTTTTGGGACAATCAATTGTATGATTTTGTTCGAACGAAGGTTGTATTGGTTGTGGTTTTTACACATATAAACACATAAATAAGATGGAACCAGCCCAAGGAGAGATTTATCGATAAAAATCAACCAATGGGAGAGTCTACGAATATGCAAAGATGGACATTTAGCAGCAGCATACAAAGAACAATGATGTACACGACTTCCAAAGCCAGTAATGTATACATGTATAATGTATACAGTTGGATTGTAGGGACATGATTTTTGAGAATGATGATTCTGCTTGTTTGACTTTTGACATTCAGTTGTTTACTTGCAGAAATACATAATGAATTGCACAACAGGAGTAGATGCACCGCAAGGCTGGATAGCTTGGTTAATGTCTGGTCCTTGGTGGCATCTTTTTTTGAAAATATTAATTCCTGTTTTTGTATTGTTGATACTGATTTGCTTATGTTACACTGTTGAAATGATGGGCCAACTCATCTCCCGTGCAACATATTTATTTTTACAGAAAACTGTAAAAACAGAAAAATAAGACAATCAGTTCTCTTTGGCGCGCAGGCCGTACGCTGCCTCTTCGTCACTGACACTACTTCTTCTAGTGTAGCTGACATTACTTTATACAAGTAACTTATACAGTTTCATATTCACATGCACCACCTTTGTAAACTGGTTAAATCACACAAATACATTTTACTATACACATGAACAACATAGTGAACTCATTACAGTTTTATCTTGTTTTTACTACTGTTTAAATCTATTTATGAACCTGTCTTCTTAACTGTATTTAATAAACTAGATCTCTTTCAAATAAATGTTTTTCTTAACATATTTCTATAGCATTCACTCTTCATGAACTAAACATAAAGCAATTCGCATTTTCTCTTATTGTGCAAAATATATATCTTGTGGCTTTAACCCAAAAATACACCTGCACCGAGCTCACACAGTTTCGGTACAGTCTAACACTTGGATCAGCACAGGCTAACAACTGGACCAACTTGGAAATTAGCTCTTTAGCTTAACATTCGCCACACACAAGACATTTATCATTAATCGCCACTGCTGTCTGTCACCTTTATAACATCTGTTTATATTATCAACCACCCAGCTTACCTGTAAAAACAGAAAAATAAGACAATCAGTTCTCTTTGGCGCGCAGGCCGTACGCTGCCTCTTCGCCACTGACACTACTTCTTCTAGTGTAGCGTCAGCTACCAATGCGTACAGGACCGAGCGCCCTCTGCTGGCGGAACTTATACAACAGTAAAACTTACATTGCAGTGGCCTTACTAAAAGAAAATGTCTCTGAGCATCAAATAAAATGGGGGGCTACTATTTTCATGTCTCTGTCTTTAACATAGTGCCACACTTATGTATAGGATACATTTTACATTTTACCTTGTATAAGATCAATGCTGACTAAGATGATTTTATTTGATTATGTACTTTTACAACAATATGAAATGACTGAAATTACTGACACGACAGAAGCCTGTGTATAAATGATGCCTGCGCTGAAAATGTCAAGCACGAGGTGCATGGCTAAGAATATACTACATAGGAATAATTTGGAGCATAAAAATCACAACACAGGAGGGAATGTTAGAGTGAATTGTTAAATGTTGTCATTTCTATGCTTGCCAACTCTGATGAAAGGGATTTCACTGTCCTTCCCTCCAGATTCTCGAGGTTCTGGATGGGGGGGCTGTAGTGTTTTATTGCAGATACATCCTATCTGGAAGATCTGCTTCTTTTGATGTAAGCTTCCTGCGTTTACGACCCTTTGGTCAGCAGGAGGTCTGACACACACACACACACACACACACACACACACACACACACACACACACACACACACACACACACACACACACACACACATATTTACTTACTTAGATACAGAAGTTCACACATATACATACAATGCCTTGTCATTTTCGTGGTGGACACAGGCCTCCCTTGCGTGAGTGATTGATCGATCGACTGTCTTGTTTTCTTCTTGATGAATAAGTCTCTAAAATTAGCGGGGCTTGTGGAAACACAGACCCAACAACATCTCTTGTCTTGTTCACATCACACAACAAAATCCTCCACTAGTGGGCTGTACTCATCCTCCCGTCCACCATGTTTACATCTAACCGTTGCAGAATCCTCAGTGTTTCTGGAGGCAGCACGAGGTTGAGTTCTACTGAAAGTCTGAGGTGTGCAAGGTGAACAGGTATAGAAACCGGACAGTGCTCTGTGGAGCTCATGTAGTGCATATCACCAAATCAGACAGAGCTCTACTCATCTATCATACTGGGGCCTGTAATGTAGCAATTCATGAGATGGTGGATGTGTTTCCTGGCATTTCCTGTAGCTTCTCTCTGTGGTACTTGTTGGTACTTGGTGGACAAGAGCTTGGAAAAAAATACATTTATATACATAATGAATTTATTTTAAGTGAAAATCTTGTGTTTGTATGACGTAGGAAAAAGATAGGCTTATCAGATTTTTCAAACATTTATTTGAAACTGCATTTTGTTTTCATTAGTGCTTTATGACTGAAGTTACTAATACATTTACAGGTTTCAAATAACAATATGGTATAATAATCATGCACATTTTTTCTGTTTGTTTAGTAAGCTGTAGGAATTTTGTTTAATTCGTCTGGAGCCCCTTTGGTGTAACAGTTCACGCTAATAGAGAAATATATCAGTGGTAATTGACATCACACATCAGACACTCTCGGATCCTCTCCAGTGTCCCCAGTCTGGTGAGTTTCTGTGGGTCAGATAAGCAGATGCATTAACACAAACCAAGATTTGGCACAAAAGTTGCTCAACCTGTGGTTAAATGTGAAATCCTAAGGTCTGGTTATTCATCTGACTAAAAAAACACAATCACAAAGTTATTCTTTGACCGAATGTTTTGGCACAGTTTTGCCTTTGTTGTGTAGAATCAAACACAAGAACAGGCAGCAGAGTTCTCTTAGCCAGAAACCTTTTTGTTGCTTCTGTTCCTCATTGGTGCTTGTACTTTGTTACGACTCCTGTCATAATTTCGTGTATTGTTTTCGCTCCTCAACACCTGATGGTGGAATTGTTCATTTTCTCTGCTGCTTTTTTTGCTTATTTAAGTTCCAGGTGGAGGCTGACTATTGGTTGATGACTGAATGGAGCTGCCTATAAATTGGGACCAGTCAAGACCGGCGTGAAAATGCTTCCAATCAGGCTGTGTGTTCAGTAATGTACTGTGTGTGTTCAAGTTCCTGTGTCTAGAAGAACTAGGTATCCCCCCCCCCCCCCCCCCCCCACCCCAACCAATTGCAACAGATAGCTGCCACTCCCTGAGCCTGCTGGAGGTTGTTAAGATCTCCCAATTCTTTTAATCTTTGGGCTGAAGGAAGGACAATACTCGGTGTATAAATGCTCAATCAACAATTCTTTATTTCCATACAATTCAGCACTTATGAGCATAAGCCATCATGATGGGGAGACATGCATGAAGAGGGTCACAGCAAATCTCAAAATGGTGACGGGTTACTCAGCTTCTTATAGCCTCTAGTGGCCCCCCACCTAGTCGTAAAAGCCTAAACATTCACATTCTTTCTCTGTTACAGCGCCTAAGTTATGACCTCGGCTCCCTGTCTTTCTGCTCTCTGTAAAGGTGGGGGTATGGAATGTGGTCTGTCTCTTCTATTATCAGCACAAGGTTCTCTGCACACAACATTCTCTTCATGATTCAGCAGTATGAAATGTCAAGAAACAGTGTAACACATTCACAGCAGATCAATGGTAGTGCACACCTGTCTAACAGAATCCAAAGTTGGTCACATTCTATCAACCCAAAAATATAATGGAACACCTGTCTAACAAACTACACAAATGGTCATGTTCTTTTAACCTAAAAATATAATGGAAACTAAGTTACATACACAGCACACAATCTAGACTAAAGGATATTAAATGACCTACAGCAGTTAACATAATTCAACTACTTTAACTACAGATATAAGATAACATATGATAACAGAATAATCTCACAAGGTTTGCTTGCTTGCTCGTAGGGTTTTCTCTGCATTATTGTAAGATCTTACAATATAATACCTTAATATAATATAATATCATTATATAATATATTATATATTATATAAGGCCATATATAATGGTCAGAGGCCATAAGAAGGTCATTTGTTACCTTCATTAATGGCTTTTCAGTACTGTAATGAGCTCTGAAACCTGACTGAACTCTTCTAATAAACATTTTTTTTCTGCAGATAAGAAAATAGCTGTTTTACAACTACTCTTTGAAGAAGTTTTGAAAGAAAAGGAAGGTTCGACAGTGGCCTATAACTTGATAAGACAGCTGGGTCAAGTGTTTGGAGGCCTGTGGTATGCAGCCAGTTAATAGGCCCTGTCAAGGAGAGCTGGACAGAACCTTAGAAGGTTCTTAACCCATCAACAGGACAGGTAACTCCTTTGTGCAAAAGGGAACAGGATGAGCACTGTCAGAGCCCTAAAAAATTCTGTGACTGTCTCTTTCATAAGGGTGGCCTGAGGGCCAGTCGTCCTCTAGTGGACCCTGTCCCTGACAGTGTGGAGGGTCTGGAGAAGCCATGGCAAACAGTATGCTGCCTGTAATATTTTTTAGTATGGTGGTGGGTCAGTGATGGTCTGCGGAAGCATATCAAAGTGACGCACAGAACTCTACAGGCTAGGCAACAGCTCTCTGACTGGCATTAGGTATCATTAGGAATTATTTGAGTTTAGAGAAAGATGTTTAGACTTGTCTGAAGACAAAGTTATTCAGTTTCTCTGTGTGTCAAGTTAAGAAAAAAAAATCAGCAAATTCTAGAATTTGTAGGATGATGTAATCTACAGGTTTTCCGTTTTGTTTGGGGTTTTTTTGTTAAACAAATATTTAAAATATGAGTCATTGAAGTCTTTATTTGCCATTCCTGTACCAACTGAATAATCAACACTGTTAATCAGTTTTAGTGATCTGTCTGACCTTCATTCTCCTGTCAGTATACACAAACCTTCGTGAACTTCTTCGAGTACTGTGGCCTGTAGATCTTGATGATGATGCCGATGCTACACGGGACAAGGATCAAGACCAACGATAACATAATTTCACCATGAGGGGCAGCGTTCTGCACGCTGGGGAAACCCTGGCAGTAGATGTAGAGCAGGAGAGGCATCATACCCAGAGCCAACATTGTAGAGCAGGAAGTCATCATGATGCTGGAGAAGACAAGGATGAGACAAATACGTTGCTTTACTCTGAGCTATGGAAACTAGCCTTTCTGAATTAAAAATGACATCTGATTCTCACGGACTTCATGATTTCCATATTCCTCATATTTTACTGACCCCATTAACCCTTCTCATAACTGCACAACGCTAAATGTCCCTGTCAACCCTGATATTCAAAAAATTTACTAGAGATATTCCTGCTTCCTGGAATATTCCACTGACATGCTGGACATCAGATAGAAATATGGGAAAAATCTAACTGAACTGTCTGAATTGTGCTTGTCTTGGTGTTATATTTGAAAACTCGACAGGCAGACACAGTGTGAGAAAGTTCGCAAACACAATCGAGTGGTATAACTGTTGTAAAGTTTTCTGCCTGAGCATTAATCACTTCAAATGACACTTTTAGCTTCTTTTTGGTCATTATAAATGTATTACAACTACATAACTTCCTATGTGTACCTGAGGTTCATGTCCCCCTGTATAGCCAGAGCCATGGAGTTGGAGAAAATTCCTCCAGGACAGCAGCCACATACCAGAACAACCACACCTGTTATATCACTCAACTGGAACCCCTGTAACACAAAATTCCAATAACCTCTTGCAGGATGCTGTAAATAACAGTAACAATGTCTAATAGTCTAAAATACAATGTCTGGTGTCAATTATATACTGGTACATCAACACAAATTCAATTATACTGGGCAACTTTTGTCATGTGCCTTGGGAGTGTCTGGGAGGTGTTCCTCTTTGTTAGAGGAGTTCCAGATTTCCGTCCTCTGGGGTGGAGTTTCCAGCACCTCACCTGCTCCTCGTTTCAACAGCAATCAGCAGTAGGGTTCTTAAACCAGCACTGCCTACCACTCTCCACCAGTTTGTCCAGCTACTGTTGTGGTAACTCTGACTCCTTGTGATCAAGTTCATGCTCGTCTGTCCCAGGTTTAACATTGCCTTACTGTTCTCAGTTCTATCAGATTAATCTCCTGCCGTGTGACTCTTCAGCGCTTGTCCTGTTCGGTTCTACTACATCAGTCAGTTTACAAACCATGGGGTTCACACTCACCACGCTCCTTGCCCTGCCTTCCTGACTGTCATGGCTCGCTTGGATTTTCCTCCCTCTGGACCTCCTGGAAACCATACCGTCTCCTCTCACGTGCCCACCTGCCATGAATCTGCCTGATTGCCAGTTTGCCTGAGCTGAGTTGAGTAACACTTGGCAGTACAGCTCCGTTAACTTCTGTTTCCCATGTGAATTTCTAGTCTGTTCTAACTACGTTTACTTGTATATAAATCCCTGGACCCATCCCTATTTCCTGATCTGTTCCCCTGAGTCTGGCAGTGAGGTGTGGAGTGAAAGTGAGCGTGAGTGCTGAAGAGGATTGTGAAACTGGAGAGTCTGTGTTTTTTGAACCCGTTTCCCTTCTATCCCTGGATCCCTCAAAATCTCAGTCCCATGCACTGTAAATAGTTTCACTTGGTGTGATTGTTAATAAACTTGTGACTTTTATTCTAAATTCATCTGGTCTGCACCTGAGTCTGTTCCACTCAAAATACCTCACCTAGAAAGCATCCATGAGGCATCCTTGTCAGATACCCAAAACATCACAACTAGCTCCTTTCGATGTGTGGGACCAGCGCTGCTACTCCAAGTCCCTTTTGATCGGTTGAGCGCCTTACCCTGTCGCTAAAGGAAAACTCAGTCACCCATTTGTATTCTTGACCTCATTCTTTTTGAGTCGTTACCCATAGCTTGTGACCATGGGTGAGGGTTAAACAAAGATTAACTAGTAAATTGATGGCTTCACTTTTATGCTTAGCACAGAATGTGCCAACCTGGAGAGAGGTATCCGTGAGGCCAAGTTAGACTACAAGAGAAAGACCGAAGAACACCTAGACAGCAACACAGGCAAACAGGTGTGGATGGTATTCAGCACCTTACCAATTAAAGGAATAACTTCGGAGCTGTGAGAGGATTGCCTCCAGGGTACGACCCCAGTAACCCTGTCCTGGGTAGGGTAGAGTGGACCCCTATATCGCATATAAGGGTATACTTGATACAGGGTTTGTCTGAACAAAAATCTTCAATTATATGAAGGTCGCTAGTATCGTATGCTGAAAAACAGTCCCACTCCATGATGTTCCCACCTTCAAACCTCACTGTCGGTATGCTGATTTTGGGGTAATGTGCAGTGCCTTTTGACCTTCAAACATGGTTTTGGTCTCACCTGACCAGACTACATTCCCCCAATATTTCACATGCATGTCTAAATGCTTTTTAGCAAAGTTTAAACATGCTTTAACATGCTTACTCTTCAGTAATGGAGTCTTGCGTGCTGAGGTATGTATGGTGTGCATACAAACCATGGCAGTTGAGTGTTTTTACTTGTTTTCTTTGAAACACTTGTGCCTCCTCTGATGTTTCTTCTCACTCGTCTGTCTGGTAGCACCTGGTCATGTGCGGTTTATGGTGAAATGATGTTCTTTCCACTTCCAAATTATGGCCCCAACAGTGCTACACTGCAACCTTCACCAGTTTAGACATTTATCTGTAACTAATGCCATCACTATGATTTGCAACAATAAGGCTGTGAAGGTCTTGAGAAATCCATCCATCCATCTTCATCCGCTTTATCCGAGGTCGGGTCGCGGGGGCAGCAGCCTAAACAGAGAGGCCCAGACCTTCCTCTCCCAGCCACCTCCTCCAGCTTATCCGGAGGAACACGAAGGCGTTCCCAGGCCAGCCGAGAGATATAATCTCTCAGGCATGTCCTGGGTCTGCCCCGGGGCCTCTTCCCGGTGGGACATGCCCGGAACACCTCACCCAGGAGGCGTCCAGTAGGCATCCTTGTCAGATGCCCGAACCACCTCAGCTGGCTCCTTTCGATGTGGAGCAGCAGCGGCTCTACTCTGAGCCCCTCCCGGATGGCCGAACTTCTCACCCTATTTCTAAGGGAGAGGCCAGCCACCCTTCGGAGGAAGCTCATTTCTGCCGCTTGTATCCGCGATCTCGTTCTTTTGGTCACTACCCACAGCTCGTGGCCATAGGTGAGGGTAGGGACGTAGATCGACCGGTAAATTGAGAGCTTCGCTTTTACACTCAGCTCCCTCTTCACCACGACGGACCGGTACAGCGTCTGCATTACTGCAGCTGCAGCCCCAATCTGTCTGTTGATCTCCGGCTCCCTTCTCCCATCACTCGCGAACAAGACCCCGAGATACTTGAACTCCTCCACTTGGGGCAGGAACTCATCCCCGACCCGGAGTGGGCACTCCACCCTTTTCCGGCTGAGAACCATTGATATAAGATTTTTTAGTTTGTGTTATGTTTATTTGTAGCTTCATTTAAAGGAAGAAGAGCTTGTGAATTGGAACCAACACAGGAAGAGAGATTGAAGCCATATGTGTAGAGGAATGCGGTGACATACGACACTTCCTCCTGATCTAACAGACAAATTGGCGCTCTCTCTCTCTCTCTCTCTCTCTCCTTTTATGGGAATGTCTGAATTTCTATACATACCAAGTTATCTCCTGTTTCAGCTGACAAGCGAACAGTCTCTCCTTTTATGGAAATGTTTCATATTTTGAACATGTCACTCCTACTTCCTTTGAAAACTTGCTTAAGTATAAATAAAGAAAGCTCTGAAAGCCCTGGGCGGTCTTTCCTCTCTCTCACATCTGTCCTGCACACATTGCTGCAGGATGGATCGGGCGATGAGGGGGGGTCGTCCATGTATACATGAAAAAGATATCTTGAGTTTGAGTTTCTTTGCATTCTAGCAACTTTCTCCTCACAACCATGGGCTCAGATTTGGAGGTGCTGATCCTCATTCCTGCTGCTTCACACTCAGCTGCGAACCGTTCCAGTGCGAGCTGGAGAACCCCACCCAATGAAGTCAACAGAACCACATCATCCGCAAAAAGCAGAGATGAGATTCTGAGGCCACCAAAGTGAAAGCCCTCCGCCACTTGGCTGCGCCTAGAAATCCTGTCCATAAAAATTATGAACAGAACCGGTAACAAAGGGCAGCCCTGGCGGAGCCCATCACCCACCGGGAATGAGTCCGACTTATTGCCGGCAATGCGAACCAAGCTCTTGCAACGGTTGTATAGGGATCGAATGGCCTGTAGCAATGGGCCAGACACCCCATACTCCCGCAACACCTCCCACAGGACACCTTGAGAGACACAGTGCAGGTAGAGCACCGCTTTCCCCTCCTGAGACGCCTGACGGTTTGCCAGAATCTCTTTGCGGTAGTCCGAAAGTCTTTTTCCATGGCCTCTCCGAACTCCTCCAACACCCGAGTTTTTGCTTCAGCCACTGCCCGAGCCGCATTCCGCTTGGCCTGTCGATACCTGTCGGCTGCCTCCGGAGTCCCACAGGCTAACCAAGCCCAATAGGACTCCTTCTTCAGCCTGGTGGCTCCCTTCACCTCTGGTGTCCACCATTTCGTTCGGGGATTACCACCACAGCAGGCACCAACCACCTTGCGGCCGCAGCTCAATGCAGCGGCTTCGGCAATGGAGACGCTGAACATGGTCCATTCGGACTCAATGTCCCCAGTCTCCCTCGGAATGCTGTTGAAGCTCTGCCGGAGGTGAGCGTTGAAGATCTCGCGGACTGGGGCCTCTGCTAGATGTTCCCAGCACACCCTCACTACGCGTTTAGGTGCACCGGGTCTGTCCAGCGTCCTCCCCCGCCACCTGATCCAACTCACCACCAGGTGGTGATCAGTTGACAGCTCAGCCCCTCTGTTTACCCGAGTGTCCAGAACATATAGTCGCAGGTCTGGTGATACGATTACAAAATCGATCATCTAGAGCGTCCTGGTGCCACGTGTACTTATGGACACTCTTATGTTCGAACAAGGTGTTCGTTATGGCCAAGCTGTGATTTGCACAGAAGTCCAATAACAAAACACCGCTCGGGTTCAGATCAGGGAGGCCATTCCTCCCAATCACACCCCTCCAGGTCTCGCTGTCGTTACCCACGTGAGCATTGAAGTCTTGAGAAATCTTTTTGGTTTTACCCTTCATCTGATGTTTCTTGTGTGGTAATGAGACACCTTTTTATAGGCTATCAGTTTGGACTAAACCAGCTGAAATAAATTTGCATTAAGCGGCAGGATTGCTTTCTATTTACTGATTTCAGTTGGCTACTTTTTTCCCTGCGTCATTTCTCATGAATGGATCAAATGGTTTGCTACCAACATCTGGTGAGAATTTCACATCAACCATATTTACTTAGAAAAAATGGTGATGTTCATTACGTATTTTATCCATTATATTTCAACATGCTCAGCAATTCCTTGCAGGAACTGGAATATGTTGTCAGGCATAAGGACATCCTCAAAAATCCTGCTTATGTGTAATTTTTCAAGCTTTGTCACAATGCTTTTTTGCATACAGACAAATCACATATACATTCGCATTCACTGCTGATCTTGGTCACCTTGATCTTAGACACCTCCATGGTGCATCCAGGTGAAACCATGGTGATGATGATTATTATGGTAAACATTACTGTAATGACATTGCCAATCACTGGGTAAAATGAGGTAAAATGAGGTGGTGTTTGCAACCGTCACATTGCGCCACAAATCTTGATGAGGTATCAGGTTTGCTGTGTTGTTCATGGTGCCTTCAAATCAGAACAAACATGAGGTTCTGAGCTGTGAGTGAAAAAACAAAAGTGGAGATGAAGAAGGAGAGAGAGCAGAGTAAGAGTTAAACAGAATACCAGGATCTTTGTTTGTTTACATTCTGTGTTCAGATTAAGTTTTGTCCTTAAACTTTGTGAAGAAAACTTCTCTAGCAGGAAGTTCACACTCTGTCTTATTGAGGTATCCTTATGATACAGATTCTGAGCTGTGGTAAGATAATTTTCAGATGCAGTTTGAGCTGTACTTAAGTAATAGAAACTAAAGAAGCCAATAAATTGCTAAAATAAATGCAGAAAATTCATGTATATGTACTTTTATTTGTTGTGCTTGGTTTAATGTTCTGTCAAAGCTGTTGTATGTTACAACACT